TCCTCATCCAACGGCTCTCCCCTTCCCATCCTTGGTATAAATACTCCCTCCTTATGCCTGAAGAATGATTGGAATCCAACACACTTAAAACTACCACTACATTGTGAAATTAAGTATCTTCTTCCCTTAAATATTAACACCTTTTGATACACGCTTTTGTCAACCACTTCCCGACGAGTGTTCCACCGCCGGTGAACTTTTCTCCGGTTGAACTTTAAACTGACTTGACCGTCGGAGTGCTTGCGGTCGTTCCCAACCTCTCCGGGAAAAGTCAGGAGTGACTAACGACGTGCCACGTGTGCAGGAAGAGTTGACTTGAAGACATTTTCTATTAGCCACGTGTCGGAGCCATTTTTCGAGGTCACGGGCTCCATTGAATTTGAGATCATTCATGAAGTTTTAGGAAAATATAGGGGTATAACTTGGACATGGTTTGAAACCTTCCTCAAGCCACTAGGTTGATTTGTTATCTACTCATGTTGAATCAATAGCCCTTCACAAATAAATAGAGAATATGCCTACTCCAGTTAAATTGGCACGTCTTCACAACCGTCTGACTAGCAAGCTTCATCATGTCACCAGCTACTCACCATATATGATTTATGATTTGATTATTTATTTGCTTTAAGGCCCTGTTTGAGCCAAATTATTGTAGAATGAGAATAAAAAATATAGTCGTTATTGGGGTCCACATAAGAGATAGAAATTTTGAATTTAAATGTTGATGTGATGGATAATGATCATTTTTTCATTTTAATGAGATAATAATGTAGATCAAACGGGGGCTCAATATTGAGAAATCTATTTATCATTTTATGGATTGATAGAGTCTAGTTATGCATTTATCATTTATTTGTTCAATTTTTATGGTTAATAATGTTGGGCTATGGATACCATATATCTCCACATTGGTATGATATTGTTCACTTTGGGCATAAGCTCTCATGGATTTGCTTTTGGGCTTTACCCCAAAAGGTATTGTACCAATGGAGATATTTGTTCATCTTTATCAACCCATCATATTTCCCATGTTTAGTCGATATGTGACTTCTTTTACTCACAACAATCTTCCCATCAAACGAAGGACCACATCATTGTGGCCTCCCTCAAACGATAATCCATCGGCCAATCTTCTTGTACCGCCATTATTGTCGTCGCCCTCGACCAAACGGGACCCGCCGCCTGACTACCATATTTTTATGTCAGGAAGACTTTCAACACAAGGCACTTGAAACCCTAATGATTTATTGCCAGATGCAAGGCTAATTAGGGGGACCTCCACCACGCTTTCTACTACGTTCCTCTGGCTAAGTTTTTGGTCCCTAGGCTCTGATACCACTTGTTGGGCTATGGACACCACATATCTCCACATTTGTATGATATTGTCCACTTTGGGTCTAAACCCTCATGGATTTGCTTTTGGGCTTTACCCCAAAAGGCCTTATACCAATTGAGATATTAAGGGAACAATACATTTATA